TGAGGGCACAGCAAGCTCAGGGGAGGGGGCGGGAAGGGGTGGAGTGGGGGCTGGGCCTGTGGCAGAGCCAGGGGTTGAGCAGTGAGCACCCCCGGCACATTGGAAAGTTGGTGCCTGTAGCTCCAGCCCCAGAGTCGGTGCCTATACAAGGAGCCGCATATTAACTTCTGACGAGCCGCATGTGGCTCCAGAGCCACAGGTTGGCCAGCCCTGAAATAGAGCCTGCATTTAATACACTGGTGTGTGTGTGAGATCATGTATCCCTATAGTAGCTGGTTCCAGTGACAGAACAGCCTACTACTGTCTCACAGCTAATGGAGCTCTCCCTTAACTCAAGCGGTAAAAGCCTGTACTTCTGGTGCTCAAGGCCCGAAATATGATCCCAGCTGACAGCCATGGTGTCTGTATGTGCATGCATCCCCCATCGTTACATAAACACTACAGAGCTCCTGTGCTGGAGCCATTGTATGACTGATTCAGATTCTCGTCATTTCCCAAAGTCCCTCAAAGCTTCAAACTGTCTTTCCTTCTCTGGTCTGGATTAAGGCGTGTGAGTGGCATTAATCACCAAGCTCTGCTCCCAGATCTGGGCATCCTCTTAGGTCTGACAAATTAGTGCAATGCTGTTAAATAACCCCTGCTTGTCTAAAAGGGGAGATAAGCACCCCCCTACTAGCCAAATCTGTATTGGAGAGGGTCCCTGGGCAGCTTCCTCTGTGACTCTATGGAAAGAGTCCCTAAGTAGCTAGTCTCCTGGCTGTCCATTGATTGCTATTTCTGATCCTGGTGGCTTGTGTAACTGGTGAGCAGCCTGTCCTGCTTACACACATTATATCACCAGAGGACTTAGTATCAGCCTTTAGTGTCTCTCCCTCACCATGCCCCGAAGGGGTCAGAGACACAAACACAGCGGAGCTGCTCACAACCCAGGGAGCCACCAACTGAAAACAAAGCAGGCAGCAAAGGTTCTCCGGAACCTCCCAGCAGACCAGCCCACAGACCCTCCCACTGATGTTAAAGGGTAAATGTGACAGCAACCAAAGTGTACAGGAAGCAGCCTGATGCTGCCACCCTTGGAAAGAAGCTTTGGCCACTTCAGATCTTGCAGTTTTATGTAAATGGTTGTAGAATCCTGATTTTCCTTTGTGTTCTCCCTGCTGGGAATAGTCCTGGAGTAAAGGAGATTGCAGGGTCAGCGGAATTGCCCTCCATCGGGCCCCAATTCAGGGGTAGGCCCAGAGCAAGGAGAAGGTGTGTTGGGGAAGGATGGGGCATGGCTGCTCTGAGCTGCTAAAGAGTTCCTTGGGGACCATTGCAGGCTGGGTCTGGTGAAGCTAATAGCAGAGGCTAAACCTGTCCCCAGCAGACCCAGGAACTGTGAAGGGGGTGCACAGCCACCTTTGCGCATCCTACATTCTGGACTACACCAGCTGCAGCTGAGATTCAAGGCCTCAGTCCCCAGCTTCCTTCACTCCTGGGCTTTCCAAGGACCTCTAGCACAGGGCTTCCCACCCTGACCTCTTCAGCCCTTCCTTCCCCCCCCCCCTCCCCCCCCACGCCTGCCCTCGGGGGACCAGGACATTCACTCATACTCCTCATTCAACCCTAAGAACCTCTGCCTTGCTCACTACAGAAGACTGAGCAGATGAGTGCTGTCCAAGCCATAGTCCCTGTGGTTCTTGCAGTCACAGTAAAACGAAGCGCGGGAGGTAGTCATCCTGTGCTGAAGGCACGTGGCAATTCTGCAGTGAAAAGGGCTGAGTAAGGGATCTAAAGAGGCTCAGAGGCAGAGCTGGCTTTATGATTTGCTGCATCCCATGTTGCTGGAGGGTCATAGGCCTTGGTTCTAAGGCAGAGGGGCACCTCTCCTGGCCTGAGACCTGGGCCCCTCCTCCTGCTGGGCCTTGGCTGTCACCCATCACCCTCTCTTTGCCCTTCCGGTCTCACCTTTCCACAGCCTCCCCAGTGACAGATGGTGGCTGTTGCTCATCTGTAATTAATTGAACTCTGTGCTGATAATCATCCTAACAAAACCCTAATTAGCTTCTCTCTCAGGAGCCAGTGGCCACAGCAGAGTACCTCCCCGCACCAGCACCGCGCACGCGCGCACACACACACACACTGACTCCCTCTAACAGCCTATTTATAGCTGCGCTGATTGAAGCTCTTGGATTTCTGGCTGGGAAGAGCCTATGAAGCTCTGGCGGTATTGCCGCTCTGCCCTGCCTACCTATTCCCATGAGCCGCACCATTCATTCTCACCCAAATTCCAGGAGGACCCCAAAGCCCTTCATTCACGTCTTCCCTCCCCACTCCCAGAGGATGGGGATGTGGTGCCATCATAAGTGTGATTACAGCCGATGCCAAACACATTGAGAATTTCTCTTCCCATGTGGACAGCCTCCCTTGGCACGTGTCCCAAGGGCAGAGTCACAGAGCAATCCTTGTGGGAAGCTTGGCCCACTGACCAGGTCCTACCCCCTGGGACCCTTGGAGGTCAGTCAGCAGAGCTGTTTGTTTCTGCTGTTTGCTCCAGGCAGAGCTTGCTGGGTTCTCCATTCCTTTTGGTGAGGTCGGTTTGTAGGAGAGGGGGCCATTCCCTATTTTTTCCTTTATTTTCCCATCTCCCTTGAAAGCCCCATGCTGGGCAGACCCACCCTTCTGGCTGGGAGGTGATCCCCTCAGGAACCCATCATTACTCCTAAGGTGGCTGAACCAGGCTCCTCTTGCTGGAGCTGAGCATAGAGCAAATTTTAACCATGGTTTTGCTCTGGTCTATATTTGCAGTTAAGCGGCACTAGCACCCATTCAGCTGAATGTTTTGCTGACACCTGGCAACAGCAAGAGGTAATTTTGCTAGTGTGAACACGAGGGGTTGATGAGGAATGCTCTAAAATAGTCTCTGGGAATATATGCTTGAGTTTTTCACTGACTAAGGCTAAGCTCATGCCCCCAGTGCTTAATTTGTGCCAGGGTTTTCCAGGGCTGAGTCCCAGCACCTCTAGGCTTGGCGGTTCATAGCCCCAGCACCTCTGAGCTTGCCGCATCATTTATTAATGTAAAAAAATTGCTTGAGTCCCAGCACCTCTTTCAGTACAACTTAAGCACTGCATGCCCCCTCTGTATTTGCTCCCTGAAAACATTTGATCCAATAAGTTTTACTTGCCTGGATGTTCATAGAAAGCAACTGGCCAAGTCACAGGCGTGAGTATTCATATCAGAAGTTCTCTTATGCTTATCTACTTAGGGATCAGAAATAATACCACATGAATGCTCTAGCAATCAAAACTAACCAAGACACTGAAATCACAAATACTGAGTATTGCATGCTGCGATCAATCCACATAAGGCAAGTATTCACCAAGTAAATGTGAATAATGAATCCATACGAGGGCAGTTCAGTCTGCTCCCAGATAACCCACTGTTCCACCAGTGGAAAAGGAGGCTCTGGTCATCGGCTACCACAGTGGCTGAAATCTGATGCTCACAATCTGTGAGTACATGAAGGGTGTCAACACCAAGGAAGGAATGTAATTATTTAGGGTAGTACCAGGGGGTAAAACGAGGAGAAATGGGATGAAACAAAAGCCTGGTCAACACTTAAACTTTAGGCCGATATAGCTCCAGCATTCAGGGGTGTGAAAAATCCATGCTGGTGAACACTATATCTAGGGGGAGGGATAGTTCAGTGGTTTGAGCATTGGCCTACTAAACTCAGGATCATGAGTTCAATCTTTGAGGGGGCCACTTAGGGATCTGGGGCAAAATCTACTTGGTCCTGCTAGTGAAGGCAGGGGGCTGGACTCAATGACCTTTCAGAGTCCCTTCCAGCTCTATGAGATAGGAATATTTCCATATATTTATTTATTATATGCTGGGAGCGCTGTAGCTGTGCGGATCTAAGCCACAGTGTAGACGTAGCTAGATTGATGAGAAAATGCTTCTGTTAACCTAGCTACCACTGCTCGGGGAGGTGGTGTTCCAACGGCGATGTAAGAACCCCTTCCATTGCTGTAAGCTGCGTCTATGCAGTGGATTATGCTGCATAGCCACAGTGACCTAGATAAGCCGCTATAGTCCCCGTAGTGCAGACATGGCCAATGAAAAGAAAAGTGTAGACTGGTTGTGAGAAAACCTTTCAAGCCAGCAAGCTGTGGTGTGATCTCCCCAGGGCATGGGCTGGATGCCTCAGTGCCTGAGACCTTCTGAACTATGCAGAAGAAAGCATTCGACAATGTCCAACAGGAGACAACCCTGCCCTGGCTCCTGGGAGAGGAGCCGGGTGTTCCAATGGGCCGTGCCCGTTTCCATTGCTGACCCCGAGGATTCTGTGAAGCAAAGGCTAAGACACTGCCAGGACTCAGCAGCTGGCCCCCCTGAGGGGCTCTCTGGCTGCCTCTCCCCACAGGGCTGGGGCTGCCTTGCAAACAGGGCTGCATCCTGAGCCACTGGAGCTGTGAGAATGGAGGCAGCATGTGAGTACTGCACCCACATGACTAATACTGGCTTCCTCTAGCAGAGCGGCTGCCGCTGCGCCTGCTGCAGAGTGACTGAACCTGGGGGAGGGGGAAGGAGGAGGCTGGTCCTGACAGCCTCGGAGGAGAGAAAAGTGGTGAGAAGAAGGAAGAGGAGCACAAGCGAGAGAACCAGACTGTGCGGAGAGGAGCCAGGCCCAGCTATAGCCAGGTGAAGGACGGAGGACCCATCCAGCAAGCAGGGTGATGCTGTTTTTCCTGCTCCACGGGACATTGGTAAAGAGCCACGGGAGAAAGTTTTCCTGGGCCTGGGTGTTCCTGAGGGGAGGACTGTGGGGGCCTGGGCTAAGCATCCAAGCTTAGTCTGGGATGTGTCCGGCTTTGGTGCAGCAGCTAGGGGTCCCGCAGGGAGCTGCAGCAGGCTGGGGTGAATGCCTGGTGCAGTCGGGAGACATGGGCTCGGGGGGAAACTGAAATCATCAAGTGGACATTTAGCACGCAGCACAGCTACCAGCAGCTAGCGGGGCTCAGTCGGCTTTCCGGAGTGCACAGGACTAAGTTGCCCCAGGGAGTGACTGAGAGCCCCGCAGGCACAGGGGACAGGCTTCGTGTGCTCCGGAGAAATGGCCCAAGCTCTGGATGGGGCACATGTGTGAAGAGGTCATAAAATCCCTGTATGGAGTTTGCCTGGGTGTGTTCTGGCTAATGAAGTGAATGGGCCCTGTCCTTAGGCTGCTCTCTGGACAGACCCCAGGGAATCCCAGCATGGAGACCCTTTGCCATGGGACCAGTCAGTCTGAGGGAACTCCCTCCCCTTCTGACTGTAGCACAGATCCTGCTCCCCAGGACAGTCCCAGGGAATCCCGGGCTGCAACTCAGCTCCCCCTTCTAAGCATCCCTATTAAAGGGAGATTGCTTTTATTGGACTCCTGTACAGAATGGGTCTCTTTGTCATCCTGTGATAGGGTCACATTCACTGCTGCAGAGATTGTTCAGGCTCTCACGGGCACCATAGGCCCCTAACCGAAGATCAGGCAGGGGCCTGGCAGCTCCCTGGGGTAGACGGTTACTGGAAGTCGCTGCGGCAGAAGTGCGATTGCTAACTGGCCCCTTTGTCTTTACCTTCCCCAGCTCGTTCCCTCTCCTATCTGGCAGGCCCATCGGAATGATTTGAGATGAAGAGTGTACCAGCTTTCTGGACGACCAACTCTCCTCAGCAAACTTCAGCCCCATTTGGCTCTGCTTGGACCAAGTTAAATGTTCGTGGGGGTTCCGCCTGGCTCGGTTTGCATGGTCGTGCAGATCCAAGGCAGTGTCCCCTAATGGGTGGAACAGATGAATCAGAGACCACATGCGGGACATGCAGATTTGAAGCTGGCACAGCTGTGTTCTGATCTTCAGCCCCTAATTTATCCAAGGGCTGGGAGCCCTTCTCGCCTCAACAGCTCTTACTGCCTCTGTACTGAACCCTCTGGCTTGGACCCCATTAGTCTGGCCTGATCACTGACAGCAGGTGCTGATCCCAGAGCTTCTGTGGCAGCAGGATCCCTAGGGTGGACTTGCCTTTGGGGACAACTTTGGTCCATGCCCAACTGGTGCAGAGAATGACAGCAGCAAGTTGGTATCACCGGGACATCAGTCGTGTTGTGGCTGAGGATTTGTTGGCCAAAGCTGGGAAGGATGGGTGCTTCCTGGTGCGAGACAGCGAGTCCGTGTCTGGGGCGTACGCCCTTTGCCTGCTGTAAGTGCCCATCTGACTTCTCATCTTTGTCTCTCTCTGTCCCTTTTCCTTTTTCAGGTTCTGACACCTGTCACTTACAAACCTGCTTGTTCTGCCAAAAGGCTTTGACCCTGAGGCCCAAATCCCCAGTGCCCAGACCCAGGGTGAGAAGCAGGCTGAACCTGGGTGAATGGTTCCTGGAGATATCTCTCTGCACCTCAGGCTGATGCCAGCCTTTTTAATCCCTTTTAAATTAATGGAGATATCCCATCTCCTAGAACTAGAAGGGACCTTGAAAGGTCATCGAGTCCAGCCCCCTGCCTTCAC